GCCTCACCCTGGGGACACAGGGACAGTGTCACACAGGGTGTCACACAGAGCCACCAAACACACAGAGCCACCTGGGCACAGGACTGCTGTGCCTTGCTCTGGGGACACACGACACTGTCACACAGGGACACCCGGGCACAGGACTGCCACATCTCGCCCTGGGGACATAGAGGACACTGTCACACAGGGTGTCACACAGAGCTACCCCCAAGACACCTTGGGCCACACACACTCCTACAAACTATGCCCACAGCACCCCCAGAAATGCCAATTAAAACACCTCTTCCTTCTCAAATCCACCTTTAAGTCAGTCTGTGGCACGTTCCACATACACACAGAGCTTTAAACAGCACTAAGAGCTCGTAACACAGCAGTAGCTTGTCAGAGGTTGGAACATGACCTACAGGCTTTGCACAATGTTTACTCTCTGATGCTCAAATATAAATTCTCAACTGTTTTGTAAAATAAATCAGAGAGTAATTTAATTCAGTCTAAACAGTCTGCATTATAGCATGCACCTTAATGTGAAATAAATTTAATGTTCAGACAGCATTTTGTGTGACTTCCTTAGAGAAGAAAGTCATTATCTCCCTTATTACTCACAGACAGCACCCTGCCAGTCAAATTTCCCCAAAACATAAGGGAAATAATTTAAACATGTTAGTACCCATGGTATTTACTATCAGTCACATTGTAACAACTTTTATGTCGTGGCAAAACCATCAATCTGCCCCAACCCCACCAACGCCATCGGGGGCTTTTCATCCCCACCAGGCTGAACAGTTTTTAGAGATAACAAGGATGAGATTTCCACCCTGACTTCTGGCCACTGCTCTCACCATGAAATATTTCTTCTCCTCGTGATCCTGGCACATGGAGATGGCATCCTGAGGGGGGATCATGTTCCAGAGCCCGTCACTGCCAAGGATGATGTACTTGTGCTTCTGGGGGTCAATGGTGTGCACGCTGGTGTCGGGCTCAGGGGACACCACAAACTCCCCACTGTAGAAGTCGTAGCTCCAGAGATCACCTGGCAAAGCACAAATTGGGTTGGAATTGTTACACAGCACATGAGGAATCCCACTCTTGGAAAACAGAGGAAAATGTTCCTTCCCAGGAAATCCATCAAAATCAGCCCTGAGTCACCAGCAGGAACATAACGAAATTCCAGCCCAGTCACTGCTCAGCTGCTGCCACCTTCTAATCCTCTTTAGACTAAACCAAGCTGTAATCAGAGGTGTTCTACTCTCTTAAATATTTGTGGAAAAAGGAGAAATGAAACAGATTAATATCTAGAAAATGGTGAAACCTTAACCACTCTCCAAACTGAAATCTATCTGAATTGAGCTCTCCTTAAACAGAAATAAAACCCGGTTTTGTGGATCCCACACCAAACGTGCCAACATTTGTGTGTGCAGGTGCCACAGGGAAGGCACAAAGCAAAAAGCAAAGGAGGAGCCTGAAGCCTTTTCCCTATTCAATTCCCTGTGCCATCCCTTTTCCTCCCGCAGCTCCAGCATCCCTGCAGGGCACAGGGGGCAGGCACAGCCGTGCCAGGGCTGGGCAGCAGCCACAGGAACAGGGCCCTGCAGGGAGGCAGCACAGAGCAGCTCCAGCCTCTCCCCAGCACGGCCCCGTGCAGGGAACTTTGCTATTTTTAAATCCCTCTCACTGTGTGAATGAGTTTGGGGTCACCTCAGCAGAAACAAAGCTGAACAATGCAGCAAAATCATGCCCTGGCTCAAGAGCTCCCTCCAAACCGTCCTCGAGTAAAAACCACTCCAGCAGAAAAATGCATTGCCACAGCAATTTATTTCAATTCTATTTATCAAGTACACTTGAAAAATTAAAAGCCTTTTCTAAGGCTAGGCCTTCAAATCAAGAATAATAATAATTTGTTCTAACACCTCTTTTAAAAATTTATTTCCATGTTCACAAACAGCTTCCTGTGGTGATAAGCAGCAAAAAGTAACATTATTATTACTTGCAAGCACTGGTTACATTTTTCCGCGCAGAACACACAGCTTTAAAAGCAGAAATTAATTGAACTGTCAGAGCTGAGCAGCAAACAGAAGCTCCACAACTCAAGAGCCAGGTTTTGTCAGGCTCTTCCTTTGCTTTCTGCTGGACAAAGCCCGGAGCTTCTTCTACATCCATCAGCACTCTTTTAAAGACAATAAATAAGCTTTTTGTCCTCCTCCTCGCCTCCATTAGCTTTGCCCTAAGCTATCAACCAGTTGAAAAGACTTTTCCAGAAGCAGGAAAGGGAATACTCCAAGTCAATTACCCCACTCCACCGCAGCCCGTGCTCATTAGAGCCCCGATTGTCCCTGCGCAGCCCCACAAGCACCCGCTGCTAATGAGCGCTAATTAAAAGCCAAGCCCGCTCCTACAGAGGTGCACTCGGGCTCCCGACAAAGCCAGCTGGCAGCGAGATCAAAAATACTGGAACAGGAGAGCCGAGCTAAGGAGTGCAGGTGAATTGCCATGGAAAGCGCTCCTGCTCCCCTCACACCCTGTCAGCCGCAGCAGGTAAAAACCAACAAACAGCAATACATGCAACATTCCTACACCTCCAGTTTGTTCGTGCTCATGTAGGAGAAATGACAAAATGTTATTAGCTGAATCGGGTTTTTAATTAAAAACACTGTGCCGGGTGATAAAAATAACCTGATGTTCATTAATTTGGGTTTTTTAGCCCGTGTGTGTCATCCTGTCCATCTGCTCCCTGCCCGAGGAACAGCCAAGGCAGCCCCACACTGACTGCAGGGATCTGCTCCAAAATCCTCACAGGGCAACTGGGAATATCACCGTGGGCAGCTCCAAGGATTCCAAACTCCTGAGGGGCACAGAGACCCCACAGACCCCCCTGAGGGCACACAGACCCCACAGACCCTCCTGAGGGGCACAGAGAGACCCCACAGACCCTCCTGAGGGCACACAGAGACCCCACAGACCCTCCTGAGGGGCACAGAG